TTCTAGACATAGATAATAATATATTGTCCATGAACATTGAAAATCCAACATGTTCCCCATGGGTTTTTCTATAAATCTAATGCAATCAATCATTTTAGTATATATATATAGAGAATATTAGATAGTTGTATCTCCAAGCAACCATGTAATATTCTGTTTATCACATAATTATCTTGATGAAAGCAAATTATATTTTCAAATAACTTTTATTTACCTCCAATATATAGAGATACCTTGCATAAAGGAGAAATATAGGTATTTTATTAGATATTTATATGATTAAAGGATATTTCTTCATTCCATAAACTTGTTACATTCTTGGTATCTCATATATATTGGAGGTATAACATGTATGTGCATGTGTATGCATGCATGCATGTGTATGTGCATGTGCCGTCTGCTTCAGTTTTGAAGATCGGTGGCCCTATTGTGACGTCGTATAACATAGAATGTAGATTATTACATGGTCACTTGTAGATACAAATCTTATCTTCTTGCACTGAAAATCTCTCAGGTCGTTTGCTACTCTCAGTTGTGAGAAATCTTTTCAACACTCAAAGATAAAATCTGTATCTCTGCACGCCTATGTAATATCCTYTATATCTATGTTGACAAAGACTACTGATCAATATATTGTAAAGTATTGTAAAAAAATGTATTAGTATTGAAGTCAATGTCATTATTATTGTTATATTGTTTACTTTCTTAAAAGGTTTATTGTTATTCAAATCTTCTTACTGTAAAGCGCATATGAACGTATGGATATTTGCGCTATAGAAATAGCACATTATTAATATTATTATTATATTATCAATAATTGCCATCTAAGTCACCATCTAAGTCAAAGACATCTTTACCTTATTATTAACAACAGAGTAGTGGCAAAGAGCATTGTGGATGCCAAATCTGTCCACACCCTCCTTAGCGAGTCTCTTCAGATTAATCTTGGGAAAATTGTACAGATCTCTGTTTATTTGTGTATAGTTCATAGGACAGTTTAGTGCAGTTTCCCAGTGGACAGGCTCTTCTTGTGGACAATAACATCCTTCATGGTAAACACCATCTAAAAATAGAGAAAAAGCCATT